GAAGAAAGCCCGGCTCTTCTCCGTCCCAGACCAAAAAGGCAGCTCCAGCCAAAAAGGCAGCTTCTGCATCCCCAGCATGCAAAGCATCACCCCGGGCACCTGCAGGATGATGCTGGTGAAGCGGGGGATGCAAAAGCTGCCTTTTTTCCCGACATTTGAAGACCAAAAAGGCAGCTCCTGCATCCCCAGCACGCAAAGCATCACCCCGGGCACCTGGGGATGCAAAAGCTGCCTACGACGATGGAAGACCAAAGAGGCAGCCCCCGCATCCCCACATACATACATACATACATACATACATAAAAACTTACATACATGCATACATACATACATACAGACATTACAGACATTACATACATACATACATACATACATACATACATACAGACATTACAGACATTACATACATACATACATACATACATACATACATACATACATACATTACACACACATACATTACATTACAATACAATACATTACAGTACAGCACATGACATACATACATACATACATTACATACATACATGCGTACATGCATACATACATTCCAAACATACATACATACATACATACATACATACATTACACACATACATGCATTACACACATGCATACATACATTACATACAAACATACATACATTACATACATACATACATACATTACATTACATTACATTACATTACATACATACATTACATTACATTACATTACATTACATTACATTACATACATACATACATACATACATGCAAACATACATTACACGACATACATACATAAAAACATACATTACATTACATTACATTACATTACATTACATTACATACATACATACATACATTACATACATACATACATGACATGACATGACGTGACGTGACATTACATACATACATGCATGCATGCATGCATGCATACATACTTACATACATGCATTACATGCATGCATGCATGCATGCATGCATACATACATTCCATACATACATACACACATACACTACGCACATACATACATTACACACATACATACACACACATACATACATACATTACATACATACATACATACATACATACATACATACATTACATTACATTACATACATACAAATATACATACATACATTACATACACATACCTACATACATTACATTACATACATACATACATACATTACATTACATACATACATACATACATACATACTTTACATACATACATACATACATACGCATACATACATACATACACACATACATTACATACATACATGCGTACATGCATACATACATTCCACACATACATACATACATACATACATACAACATACATACATACATTACACACATACATACATACACACATGCATACATACATACATACATACATACATACATACATTACATACATACATACACACATACATACATACATACAGTACATTACATACATACATACAGTACATTACATTACATTACATACATACATACATTACACACATACATACATACATACATACATACATTACATACATACATACATACATACATACATACATACATACATACATACATACATACATACATACATTACACACATTACATTACATTACGTTACACTACATACATTACATACATTACATACATACATGCATACATACATACATACATTACATTACATTTACATTACATACATGCATACATACATACATACGTACATACATACATTACATTACATTACATTACATTACACTACATTACATTACATTGCATTGCATTGCATTACATTCATACATACATACATTACATACATACATACATACATACATTACATACATACATACATACATACATTACATACATACATACATACATACATACATACATACATACATTAAAGGCCTGCACACGCGTACGCGGATCAATCTCCGCGCAACCCCGGCCATGGTGAATCCTCGGGTCAATCCCCTCGGATCGCGCGCTCAGGGCATGAAACTGTCTCTTCTGTTCCCCCCTCTTCTAGCAAATCAAAGTCATATCCCAATAGGCCGGCAGGCCGGCAGACAGACGCGCAAGCAAGAAAGCACGCGGACAAGCCATCGCCCGGGCAGGAAGCAAGCGAGCAAACAAGAAAACAGGCAGGGCAGGCAGGCAGGACAGCACGTAGGCAGGCAACAGGCGAGCAGACAAGCAGAACAAGAAACAAACCAACAGGAAAGTCCCCCCAAGAAAAAAGAAACACTGCCAACAGCAGCCCGAGCATCCAGACCCCGGGGTCTACCTACTCCCAAAGGCAGCCCGAGTATCCGCAGACCCCGGGGTCTGCCTCACAAACCAACATACAGGAAAGTTCCCCCCCAAAAAAACCGTAGCAGTACCAAAGGCAGCCCCAGCATCCGCAGACCCCGGAATCTACCTCACGCCAAAAAAGAAAAGAAACACACCTTTAAAAGCAGCCCGAGTCTCCGCAGAACCCGGGGCAGCCCGAGCATCCGCAGACCCCGGGGTCTACCTCAGAGACCAGCATACAGGCAAGTCCCCAAACAAAAAAAAGAACCGCTACCAAAAGGCAGCCCGAATATCCGCAGACCCCGCAGTCTGCCTCAGAGGCCGACATACCGGAAAGTCCAAAAAAATGCAAAGGAACGCTGCCCAAAACGGAAACAAGAGCCTACCAAAGCCAGCCAAAGCATCCACAGACCCCGAAGGGACAGTGACCCCGCGGGGGCGGCGGCACCGGGCGACAGCCCTTAAATATTTCCGTGCAAATGACAGCTTCCTGCTCACCGTCCAAAACCCTGACGCAATGAACGTGTCATACGTGAAGCGTTGCGACAAGGATTCCTATCTTTGCAACGATTTGCAACCCCAGCCTGAACAGGGCTCAGATTGCTCCAGGCCGTGTAGCGTTGCGCATCCCCAGCAACTGTCATCGAAGCCAGGCCTGGTCTGCTCATGCGCTTCCAAGCAACTATGCGCTTGCTTATTCGCAGAACTGACTCGTGTCCACCCCATTCCACACCGAGTGGTCCGACAACTTGCTTCCTCTCTGCAGCAGACAAATCCTACACAGAACAAGCACATCCCAATATAGTCAACAGCTGACTCACACAATGCATACTGTGATGCACCATTCCGAGCATCTTGAACCACACGGCACAGTCGCATGTCGTGTGAACAGTTGATCAATCGCCCTGAACCAATTTGCGCATCTCCTAAACTGCAGCTACCAGCGGCGCTGAAAATGACATTTGCAATCCAACTCACACTTACCTGCAGACACTAATGCACATGCCCGGCCTGAAACCAGCTGCTTTCCACTAACATCTACACGAGTACTCTGATTTTAAAATTGGGCCATGTGGGCGGCTCGGAGTTCTTGTCAAGCCTCTGATGCTTGAAATACAAGCATGACGTTCAATTCCCATTGACACCTGAAAATCCCACGATGCCTTAAATCATCTTAAATCCCAAGAGCCTTTACAGTGTGCTCAAAATCAGGGACGCGCGTGAACCGGCGAATCATCAAATCTGGAAATGTTCGGCGACGGTGGATGCAGTCTAACGAGCATGCCTGTGGCCGCATGTGGTATCATTTTGGGCCAGGGTAAACAGTCTCCAGTGAACATGCGTGTGAACGTATCGGGCTGCGGCGCATAAGCCGGCACGCATTCTCGTCCCAACTTTTCAGCTTCCGGCAGGCTTGCATCTTCACCATATTTTCGTCTTCAGTCCCAGACCCAAAATTTTCACGCGCGTTTTTGTCTTCAGCAGCACTGTTGACTTTTCCGGATGCTCGTCTTTGCTGTCTTTGCTCCGCTTTCGTCTGCGGCCGACGCCTAATGTCCATCTTCACCCGACGGCTATCTTTGCTTATCTTTGGTGGCGTCTCCTCTACAGGGCCTGTCTTCATATTCAATTTCAGGCATTGCCTCCAATCAGGACCCCTGTCTCATGCAACAATGCAAAGTTGACAGTGCAAACGTGAAGGTCTCGTTGGCACTTTTGACATGCTAACCCGCACCACACCGAGAGGCTTGAACATGTCGTGATCAAGGCCCTTTCGGCCTTCCAATCTTTGGTCAAGTGGCGACAAACTCAGCTTCACAGGGAACTCATTCTGGGAGTGCTGCCAGATCTAAACTTTACTGATCTGGTCCATGCAGTCAAGGCACCTGAATCACGTTGTTGAGGCGAAGTCCACCACATTGCTGAGGCAAACTGCAACCGCAACCCTTATGGTCCACTCATGGTTTCGGGCGATCTGCAACTGGAATGGCCACGTCACTGGCGCACCTGCACAGATTGCTCACATCCTCCCACATGACTGCCAAGCAGTCAACCGGCCAAAACGTATGTGTTGCCCGGGACGTCCCAGCAGGGGCTTCCCGGGACCTCACAAAACTGTGGCAGGACATGCAGGACCAGCAAAAACGCATGTGGAGCCTACCCGAAGCTGTGTGATCCGCCCCCCTTCATAGGTCGGGGCAGCTTGCCAAACTCTAAGCCATAAAGCCAAAAACCAAACGCCAAACACAAACACAAAACCTAAAGTCTAAGACCAACACTAGATCCCAAAAACCTCAACTTAGACCCTAGAGACCACTCTATCCAAACCCCAAAACAAGAAACACCTTAAACCTAAACCCTAAAACCCAACACCTCAACCGTAAAACCTTGAAAGCCTCAACCAAAGCCCTGAAACCCTCAACCAAGACCTTGTGGACGACACATATGTGTTGCGGCTAATCTAATTTGTGCCACCTGATCTCAAGTACGCTGCATCTTTCTGCGACATTGGCCCTGCCGAAGTCTTGCCAAGTTTGCGCAGGATGTGAAAACGTGAAGGACATCCTACATGCCGCAGTTGGCACATCTCGTGGGATGCTGTGCAATTTGGGACTGAGTCTTGGCACAAGCCAGCCCTGGGATGAGCGCACCAGAGCACAAATTGCATCATTGCCAAAATCCGCTAATTGGCTTCAGGGCGGATTTCAGCACTGCTTGACCTCGTGGAGCACTCCTGGGACCATTGGATTTGGGGGAACGTTGCCTCTGGACATACCGCTGTTGGGGCAAATGGCTTTAGTGGAAACTCCGAGGGTAGTACAATTTGCTTCTCGACCAGCTCTGTCAGCAAGTAAGACTTGATGTGAGGTCAAGTACTTAGGGCACGCAGGCAGGAAAGGAATAGTAACAAAAACACATTTGTCAGAAAACACGCTGACCCTCTTCGAAAACACCTTGCCTTTCTGCTAACATGTATTGGTGGCGAAAATCTCACACAAATCAGGCCAGTTCAGAGCCAGGTTCTTGAGCCACTTCAGGCACACAACGACTGTGCAGGTGGCTTCTTCAGTGAACTGGGCCTCTCGCAAGACATGTGTCCCCCCGTGCGGTCGCAGCCCAAATGTGCATGCTCGAACGGACAGCCAGGGGCTCAAGCCAATCGGGTTACCCAGCTCTGAATCGGGTATTTGCTGAAAGTGGTTGAACCTTAGTAAGCAAATCATGGCCACACGCAGCTACCAGCTACCCAGCATACCAAGCCATTTACTTGCTGTATTTTTACATTTTGACACCTTGAGCTTCACCTTGCGCTTCACCTTGTGGCACCTTCAGCTCGTTGCCTTTGACGAAGACGCGCCACCCGGCCCCAGATCTCCTCCAGAGCCGCGGCTGGAGTTCGCCTTCGCCTTCGCCTTGGCGGGTGCGATCGGGTTGCTTGCCCCCGCACCGAACGGGCCGAACGGGCCGAACGGGCTGAACGGGCAGACCCTCACATCAACTGTTGAAACCTAGTGATGCAACACGCACATAGGCAATGCTGGGAATGGCACCAGGTCAACCACCCTCAACGGTAATTCATATGTGGCATTTTGCGGTGGCTGTTTCTCTTTGTGGTTGTTTTTTCGGTGGTTGGTCAACACGCCTTGGTAGACACATGACTTCTGTAATGTTTGGCTTTAGTTTCCTCCTACCCTCGTGATCCGTGTGACCCGGGGCGTCTTTGGGCAGCGTCATGCTAACACCGCTACGAATTGAATGAGCGCACGCACACTGGGAACCTGGGATGAACCCGCAGCTTTTAGAAATCCCGAGCCGAGAACGTTGTCCGCAAGCACTTGAAACACAATTCACGCGCCAACACTACCAGCTGGCATAGTGGCAGGCACTGTGCAAAGCCACCAGCTCGCACAAATCGGCGGACCAAAAGCAAACATAACCAACTGTGTTAGAATGTATGATTGGCAACGGTGTCCCCTACCGGGCCTGCTGTCACTCTGCGGATAGAGGCCGTCAAAGTTTAAAGCAAACAAATCAAATATGGGAGCAGCACGGAAGCACCCTTTCACGGGTACCCTTTTGTGAGTGCTAGCCGCTAATGATGGAGCAAGTGGACTTATCCAAGGCAAAGTTTATTGACCGTCTTCCATGTTCCTGGCCCAGGCCGAGCTGCAGCTTTCAGCGAGGAGCGGACCGCTGCAGAGGCTTGCCAAACGGCCGGGCGTCCGGGCCTCTGGGAGCCGGGATTTGATTCTCATGCAGCACTTCAAACAAAGCGTCGAGCTCTAGCCACGAGACGTTCTGTGCAGTAGGCGAGTGGCTCAAGCCAAAGTCTCCACACAGACGCTCCACTCAACTCATCCCGCAGAAGCATCAGCTGCAAGCCCAGCCAATTCTTTCCAGAGCCATCGCTGTTGTCAGACCAAATGCAATCACCTTGCGCAGATTTGCACAGTGCAAGCTGCATAGTTTTGTGGCTGAAAGTGTCGACGCCAACTCCCTGTGACCCCTGAGCCCTATGCGGTTGGGCACAGGGTTGTGCTCCAAAAGGAGTGCATCACCAGTTGCCAGCAGGCCCTCGCACAGCTCTGGGTCCTCCGGCAAATTTGGCACTTCCTGGATATATGGGCGGAATGGACAGTCCGCCATCGCTAGTTGCAGCTGCAGGATGGGTGGCCGGTGCTATTATGTTGGCCACGTCGAATCTTTTGGCTCTTCCTTTGAGGTCACATGTTTTTGGGGAGGCAAACTGGGCATAAAATCGGAGAAACGCGCAAGAATCTATGTTGTCTGTCCGCGTTGGTGGGTCCGAACTCAGTAAGCAAAATGCAGTTGCCTGGCTCTTCTAGGGTACTGTGCTCGACTTCTCCTTGTTCTGCACACCCGGTATTAGCAGCAACTGGTTGAGTGGCCTTAGCTATGCCGTTGTTTTCTTGTTGGCTCTGTTGTTGCCGGGCCAAGTAACCAAATTTAAGACAAGGCAAGTACAAACATGGCAACCATGTGACTGACACCAGTGGCTTGCTTGTTGGTCCGTGTGTGCGTACGCCTTGTCCCAAAGGGCCGGATGCCCTATTTTGACCGTTTCGCACCCCGTGCATAGGCAGCAGGGGGCAGGAGCACCATGACAAGTCTCCTGCCAACGAAGACACTTGTCATAGGCGGTGATACTGGGACTGGCCATCCCAGCGTACCTGCGAGAAGTGTGACGTGTTGAAGGCTGTCGCATCCGGTTGCAAGCTCCCACTTGAGCATCGTGTGATTTGCGACAATCTCCGTGGACCTGATCCACATATATATGAGTCGATCGACTCCCGAATACGTGACTTGTTACCCCGTAAGGTTGCTGTGTGTGCTTCTCCCTGATTGAATTCTGTCAGTCAAGTGTCTTGCGAAAGAAACATGTCACACATACAACATACTGGCTTCGAGCCAGCGACCTGCCCTTGGTGCAGCGGACCCCAGTTCCTCCATCCTGCGTGTCGGTTTTGCTCTCACTTCAATCGGGCTTGTGTTCCGAGAAAGCCCATGAAATGACTCAGTGAGAGTCAGCCTGCGGGCATAAGTTCAAGTGTGTCTTCGCCAGCCATTCGTCTACCGAGGCTGTGTGTGATCCGACTTCGCGGGATACCCGGGAGACAGCGCTGTGAGTCGACCCTCGGGTCATGATGTTGAATGGTTTCTTCACTCGTTGAAGAAGCATGATATTGAATACTGGAGTTGGGTGCAATATCCACTTCGGGCCCAGCGGAGGAAATGCCGGTCCATTGGCTTGGAGAAACTCAAGCCAATGGAAAACTGACAGACCAGAGCATGAATTGTATCCTGAAATGATCATGAATGACTCTCTTCGCGCTTGCTCCCTCTGTTCCCGCTCTTCACAAACACACAACGCGGTCTTGCCCTCTTGACTCTTGACACGAGGTCTCCAGATGACACAGTGTCGCTCCCTGATTCCACCCGACAGTTTGAATTTGCCCCCAGCTTGGAGACATGTACCATGATCAGCATGCGTTGGTATTAGCAGAGTGGCGCCGGCCTCAGACTGGCACCAGCCTTAGATTGGCACTGGCCTCAGTTTGGGCCCCGTCTCCACCTTCAGTGGTGCCATGATCCCTTGATTTCATGTCGGTAGGTGTGCCCTCTTGGGGGACTTTCCGTTTGCTGAACCTCTGCTGCCATGAGCCTTGGATTTGATCATGACATCGCCCCTCCGTGTGGAGGGGCTGTGTGTGTGTGCACAAGCCCTGTTCCAAATGGCTTTTGAGGCATGATTGCGTCGTGTCGCAACAGTGCAGGGGATTGCCGAAAGTGTCTTTACCAGTCTCCTTTTGAAGCCAGTCCTTTTGAGGCAGAAAGCTCCCCAACAGCCCCTGCCTTCCAAGGTTGACAAACCCTTTGAATTTTTGTCCCCGTTGGTTGACGTGGTGGTCGCGGCTGCTCGCAAATTTCCACCTGCCTTTCAATCGGGGGAAGCGGTGCGGCAAATGAGACCCTAAACGTGGATGTTTGATTGAGGTAGCCCTTTGACCAGCTTGCGAGCTTGAGTCCGTGCCTTGGTTGGGGCTGTTGCCTGCGGAGCCCTCAAACACGGTTACACCGGGTCGCTTGTGCTGTGACAAGCATGCGCGCCTGTTACCTTACAAGTTGTTCGTAGGGTCACACTAAGGCGACTAAGGTTCGGAAGGCTCGAGTCAGTGTCAAGACGGACAAGGTTCAGTCAGTAGTAGTCCAGAAGCCCGGGTATGACCATGTCGACAGTCGCATCATTTTTCGCATTGCCACCCATTGAAGAATCGGCACTCCCTTCCACGGGCTTGGACGTTTTAGTGGGAGTACCCCATGTTCAGGATGAGGTGGTTCTCTTGAGTGAGCTTGGAGAGTTACCTCCTTCACCAACATCCTGTGACAATGCTGTGATTTCTGCCCCAGGACCCTTGGACTTGCCACCCCCACGCTTTCTTGATGCGCCTCCAGAACCACAGCCTGGCGAAAAGGCGCCCAGCGGGAATCACCCAGATCTCTCCCTACTACCCCCCTTGGACTGAGGAACAAGACATGCAGCTTCGGGCCCTCAAAGCTGATCAAGTCTTCAAGCTTTTTCCAGGCTATTGGTAAGAAGCTGGGACGTACTGCTTTGGGTGTTCGCAGCCGCTGGTGTGTCATGAAGGATTCGCGACCCCTTCAGTTTGGGAACAAGCAAGGTTTGCCGGCTCTCACCTTGATTTATGTCGTGACCTAGGATTCTGCCAAGTTTTTGACAGGCATGCAGGAGCAGCGTCCTGACTAAGGCACCTAGACTAAAACATCCGGAGTACATTCTGCTTGCGTTGTGTCGCAGCTTTTACCAGTCCACGGTGGACGTGTTGATGTTCCTGAAGCGTCCCTTTTGCCGGGCCCTTTCGATTTGCATGCCCCTCCAGCGAGAGGGGCCGTGTGTGTGTGTAAGCCTTGTCCCAAAGGGCCGGATGCCCTATTTTGACCGTTTCGACCTGATGAGTGAGAAAGAATTTGCTGCAGTTCACCCCGTGCATAGGCAGCAGGGGGCAGGAGCACCATGACAAGTCTCCTGCCAACGAAGACACTTGTCATAGGCGGTGATACTGGGACTGGCCATCCCAGCGTACCTGCGAGAAGTGTGACGTGTCGAAGGCTGTCGCATCCGGTTGCAAGCTCCCACTTGAGAACCATGTGATTTGCGACAATCTCCGTGGACCTGATCCACATATGAGTCGGTCGACTCCCGAATACGTGACTTGTTACCCCGTAAGGTCGCTGTGTGTGCTTCTCCCTGTTTGAATTCTGTCAGTCAAGTGTCTTGCGAAAGAAACATGTCACACATACAACATACTGGCTTCGAGCCAGCGACCTGCCCTTGGTGCAGCGGACCCCAGTTCCTCCATCCTGCGTGTCGGTTTTGCTCTCACTTCAATCGGGCTCGTGTTCCGAGAAAGCCCGTGAAATGACTCAGTGAGAGTCAGCCTGCGGGCATAAGTTCAAGTGTGTGTATGTGCGCGTATCAAAGGCTTGGACTGCATCGCTTAGCTCAGCACGCATCAGCTCCTTGCGTTTTTTCTGCGCGTTCAGGATGCCATGGCCACAAGCAGCCTTGCAGCGCAGGCCTTACTCCGGAGTCGGCATTGTACTCAGTTGCATAGCAAGCCTGCTGTCCGCACGCTTCATAGACCCTCAATTCACCCTTGTCACTCCATGTTGCGAACACCCGCCATCTATGCCATGGCGGGCCCGGGAACATTGGGGTTCATTTCCTGCATGGTCATCTAAGCGAATTCGTGAAGAGGCGCAAGCCAACAAATGTGTCATGAAGTGATTGAGGTTTGTTATGGGATTTCCGTGCACCAAGCGTGCTTTGACTCCAACAACATGTTCAGCGCTTCAGCAGAAACACACACACACATCCCAACTCGGCTAATATTTGTGGTAGAAGGCAGCTTTCAGACGATGCAGTGCATGCAGGCAACTGACACATCAACCAATACCTTGTGAAACATGACTGTTGCTTCATGTGGTTGGTAAGAGTATAAAAGATGTGTTGGAACATTGCCAAACTTGCCCGACACTTCAATTCCACTTGCACCTATGTGGATTTAATTAGTTTGTGGCTGACTGTAGGTTCTGGTTGTGACCATGTCGTCTTTTCCCTCCTCGGCCAAAAGTGCACTCTTCCGCCAAGACAACACCAGGCGGCGTATGTGGAGATATGACTGCATCCAGGCGGTTTCTTCTGTTTATTTTAGAAGTGGGTATTGATGCCCGAAGAACACTATTCAGCATACATGTCAGCAACCTGTGCTAGCAGGCTCAATACCACTGACCTGCCAAGAACCTTTTGCAAACGAAGCAAGGCCGGCATGAACTCAGCAAATCATCTCCTGGAACTTGCGGGTGAGGACGTGGCGCATTGCTGCCCAATTGCCTGCAGATCAGTTTCAATTTGCTTGAAACCTGCAACCCGACATGACATCTACACACGTCTTACACGCTACTGTAACCTTGGAACAAGGTCCTAGCTACAAAGCACTGCCACACTATAATATAACTCAATATTTGAAACATACACACACACACTCACACACGCCCCGGAGCTGTGGGGTCGCATGTCCCTTTGCACGCTTTGAAAGAAGATCAGCGCGCAGCAGCGCGCAGTCAGCCGCGCGCAAAATGGTAGTAAACACGCCCAAGGGAACCCTCTGTTTGATAAATCCAACATGTCAAAATGGTAGTGAACACGCCCAAGGGAGCCCTCTGTTTTTCATGAATCCAACATGTCAATAATGGTAGGAAACACGCCCAAGGAAAACATATGCTTGAAAAACGCCCAAGGGAAACATTTGTTTGATGAATCCAACATTTCAAATGGCAGTGGGCGTGTTTACTTCCACTTTGACATGTTGGATTCATGAAATAAAGAGAGGGCTCCCTTGGGCGTGTTTTCTGACGTTTTGACATGTTGGATTCATCAAACAGAGGGTTCCCTTGCGCGTGTTTACGTTTGATGAAAGGCTTTTGATATCAATTATGGCTTCGGTCTAGGGTTTGCAAACAGTGGGTCGCGAGCGGCTGCTACAAAGTGCGCGGGCTGATGTTGAGCCGTGCCTTCCCGAAAAAAGGGGCTTGCAGAGGGTGAACAACAACAAGATTCGCGTTTCGCCTAGACGAAACGTCGCCTGGAAGTGCGCCCGTCGGGATACATTGACATGTGTATATATGTTTATATATGTTTGTTTTTTCAATGTGGTCACCACTGCAAGCCCCTGCCACCAATTCTTGGGAAGTCTGCCAAATCGTCATCGCCCTCTGGACCTGCGAGAGCCGAGTTGCTGCCATGCCCAGCATAGCTGAAAGCCTCCATGCCCTGCAGCTGCCTCTTGGTCCTGAACGCCTCCGCCCCAGACGCATTTTGGAAGAGCTTCTTGCGCTCCCAGAACTTCCTGACAAGGCGACTTGCTGCAATTCGCTGTGTTTACGCACTCATTATCACCTTGAGCTGCATAGTATGCTGCACCCATTTGCAACAATGCACATATCAAACAGGCCAACGGAAGTCAGACTGATCAGTGCCTTGTTTGTCTCTTCCTGAGGCTAGGCAACAGAAAACTGTCCTGCGTGCCAAGTTGAAGTAGAGGGCTCTGACTGCTAAGCATGCCCAGCACGGGGTTCCTCTCCGTTGCCAACATCCTCTGGATCTCTTCCTGCATGTTGCCACCGCCTGCAGCTACCGCTGCCAAACGTGCAGCCATGTTGCGCACCTGGCCGTCGTCGAGTCCGGCCTTTGACAGTGCAGAACTTGAGAAAGGTCAAGCACATACCACAAGACGACAAAAACACTGCCATGTGTATGTCATAATGATAATGTTGCCAGTCCATCAAAAGCGTCCCCTCTGAACTGCCCATGCCCTGTCTCCTACAGGGCAAATGATTGAGAGGAACGCTCACAAACATTCACAATCAAGCCAAAGAATGGCGCAACGTCCGTCCTGCGTGTGGCCATAAGAGTCTGCTCTATCTTTGCGCCATTTCCCGCAAGTCACACACGTCATGGGCATCCTGTCAGTTGGATCGTCACCAATGATTGCCGCGCGCTTGGCCAGGGCAGATTTTAGCGGGCCGTGCTGCAAGTCCTCCAGGACCGAGCGCAGAAGGCCCTGAAATCAGTGCTGCCCGCGGCCAAAAGCCTCTGGCACTCCGCTTCCAAATCACCGCCGCCACTCGCCACTGCCCCCAAATGCTGCGCAAGCTGAAGTCCTTCCATGTCGGTCGCCCGCCCCACCCCAAGCCTTGGGCTGTGAGCCGCGGGACCTGTGAAAGAGCCGAAAATGGGCTGACCGGATCACGCTAGGCAAACGCCGTGCCATGCGTTATGCACAGAACTCTCTCGATTCAGTGACCAGCCGCATTGGTTGCATTCTGACATTTTGGGAAATCAACACATCGGCTCTTTGCTCGGTCCTGCCGCAGTCTTGCCGAGAGCAGCCGGGTCCCAAGTGATTGGGCTCACGGATGGGCCCATGAGAAGCCCAAAGCCCGAATCCCAGGACAGCTGTACAAAACAACTTAGCTCGTGCCTCGTGCCTCGTGTCGCCCGAAGGTTCCGGCGCACAAACTCAAGTTGTCAAAATCAAATATACCTCTGCAAGCGGTGCTCATCTCTCAGACCCGTTGGATGTCGGTGACCTCGCACAAGCCGATGCCAAATGCGTTTCTCAGCGCTTGAAAGTCACAGGCCTGCAAGGCCCCTTTCGACCAGTACGTTTCGGTCGTCATAGTGATGTTGTTTTTGTGTTTGGCTTAGCCGGCCTTTGACACCCATCGAGGTGCTATTTTCAAGTTCAACACATCTTGTTGTTGGCAAGTTAATCGCCTGAAGGATCAAAGTGTGGTAATTTTACATTTTACATGCGTGCCCAAAATTACTAAACAAAAATGGCTTTTGTGTAGTAAAAAATGGCTTTTGTGTAGTAATATCGTTGTGTAGTAAAATGGGCAATTTTACCACACATTTACTACACAAAATTACTACACACTTTTTTTAACAAATGTGTCGTAATTTTACAACACTGTGTAGTAGTTCTCTGTGTAGTAAATTTTGGTGAAATTTCCAAAGTGCATCCAAACTGCGTTCAAACTGCGTTGGCGTTGTTTTTGCCAGTTTCCGAGGCGCATCAAACCTACATCAAACCACAGACAAACAGCATCGAAAGCACATCGAACTACATCCAAGCTGCATGCAAACGGCATCAAACTACATCAAAACTACTATACTAAATTGCATCAAAACTACATCAAACACATCAACATTACATCAAACTCCATCAAATCTGCATTTTTTAAGAGGTGGGACGCCAGTTTTTTCAATTTGGAACACAACGAGAGATAAATCAACTATGTAGCACAACATGTCCAGTCACCCACAACTGCCAGTCTCATTGTTTGTGCAAGCACCTTGCGAGCTGAGTATTGCGCTATAGAAGGGTCATCTTGTGAGTCCTGAAACTGTGGGGCTGGGGAAAAGAAGGGAGATGCGGCATGATCAGTGGGACAACTGGAAGGGCGCTTTCTAGATTCCCAAGAACTGCACAAAAAACATGACAGGAAAGGTGATCTTGCGGGCTGAAACAAAAGCAGAAATGGTTTTGTTTTTCAAGTGGAACAGCTTTTGTTTCTTTCACGGTAGATACTGTGACGGTAATTGAAACCGCACGTGTTGGGTGGGCCCTCGTTGCTGGACAAAGTGGTGGCCGAGAAGAAGGCCTCCCTGAGGACACCTAAGAAGCCAGCAAAAAAAAAACATCCGCAGACCCAAACGCTGATTTGCTTGCGAGACTTCATGCAACGTCGGAAGTCTACAAACCTGTGGATGTTGGTGCTGCCGCCAGTGTCAGGGCCAACAAAGTGGAACAGGAACACACGACCCCAGCCTCAGTGGATGCTTGGTTTGGTGGATCTGTGCTACGAGATCATTGTGATGGTTGCGAAGAATTCGAAGTCAGTTGTGAACAAGGCCATTTCCAAACTGCTGCTGCACGGTAGGGCCACAAACAACACATCGAGAAAAGACAGAGATTGGTCAGGATGTGGGACTTGTGATCCGTCTGATTCTTTACTGGTATACAAAAGCTGCGGAGCCATCAGCTTGCTGCGACGAAGTCCTCAAGAAGTTGAAAGGCGATGAAAAGATTAAGGCCTGGAGATGACTGAGATTTGCGTTTGACACTCAAGACCAGAGTTGAATCTTGCGACGGCACACGCTGTGTGTCACTTGCCTATAGAGGAGACACGCCAACAGGGTTCCTTGCGGTTGAAGTACAAGACTGAGGCAGAACGCGTTTGCAATCAAGTATCAATGGTCGGGCCATATCAACCCTCACTTTGGCGATCGAGTATCAATGGTCGGGCCATATGAACTCTCACTTGCCATTCAAGGTTGTGTGTTCTCCAAAGACATGTAGCCCTTTTCTACACCATGCGCGCGGTGCAGGTCCAGGCCGTGATTGGTGCTATCCAAATAGACCTTGACGACAGCCTGTCGAACGAGGTCCAAGACGAAAATGAGGAGGGGGGGTCGCACCATATGCGAGCCGACTCACGATGACCAACACTCGGACTCAGGGGAGGAGACGCAGTCTTTCGAGCAGATGCACGAGAGGGCCCGACAGGCCGCCAGCATGGACAAGGAGGCAGGGAGAGCAAACAAGGGTGACCTGAAGACAAAAGCAACATCTTCGAGTCTGGAAGTATCGGCAAGTTCCTCCAACCGTGACACCAGTACCGCTGACACCGACACACACAGCGCATTGAACCTGGCTTCAAGCTCAAAGAAATTGTCCGACCATGACATCATAGCAGCAGCACTGAAACACCAGAGCGCGTGGCAGCAGAAAGGCAAAACAAAGCCGAAGAGAAAACGCTGTACTTCCTCAGAAGACAGCTCGTTTGAAGAACTGAAAGAGGCGCCCAAAAAAAAGAAAGAAAGGAGCAAACAAGAAAAACCCAAAGCTGATGGAAAGATTCCGCCGACAGAGCAAGGCAAAGGCCAAGGCGAAGGCAGACGAGGGCAAGAAGAAAAAGGCGCAAGCGTGAGCCAATCAAGACTTGTCCTGCTCTTTTTCCCCCCCCGAAACAAACATGGAGGGCACTCTGACCAGGGTGAAGGATGGACACGCTTGGCAATTTGATCACAGTAGCTTTGTCCAATTTGTTTGGCTCTCTCTACCGCGCGCCAAGCGAGAAGCTTGTGGGAGATGTACCTGGACTTTAAGCGCGAGCAGAAGGAGCTTGGTGTGGGCCACTATGAGGCTCATCAAAGATGGCTATTGCCAGAGGACAGAAGGAAGGTTTGGCAACCATGAGCCTTTCTGATCTGAAGAAAAGGAGGTTCGTGGAGTCGGCCGCGACTGTCAATCCTTTCATCAAATAGAGTGACAGTTGACACACATGATAGTGTTGATGCTGCGGTGGTCCAGATTCTGCATGAGGCAGAGAGTCTTTCGCAAGTGTGTGCGAGAAAATGTGTTTGTGACAGGAGACCCGCGCCGCTTGTGCTGTGCATCAAATAGAGTGACAGCTGATACACATGATAGTTGATGCTGCGGTGGTCCAGATTCTGTGCATGAGGCAGACTCTCTGCGCAGCCACAGAAGAAGAAGGTGGAGTGGTTCAGAGTCACTACGGATGAGGAGGACAAGCGATACGCTAATTTCGTGGAAGAGCGGGATTGGAACCAAGCTTTCAACGTGCCTCATGTGAAGTTTCGTACCTTCAGGCAGACATGGTTCCTGAACCACCAGCACGGCAACGAACCTAAGCCCGGTGAGTGTCTTTTTTAAAGTGTCCATGCGCACAGACTGTTGATTCGGCAGCTGTCCGATGATACAGCGCGTGAGATTGTGAGATTTTGGGCATGGACAAGGTCCGAAGACATGCTGCAATAGTGTTTGCTGCGCATGCTGTGACCATCATTGAGAGTGCTCGTGTCTTGTGCAAGGGCGTTCCAGCAAGACTATACCAACGCACATGGCTTATAACAAGAATCCAACCCCACTTTTGCATCAGTGTTGCCGAAAAACGCGTCGCAAAAGCACTGGAACATGTGCCCAAACTGCTAAACAAGTCGGCAAATAAGATTTTGGGCATTAGATTTAGGACATTTTCAGCTTTTTTTATCACGGGTTTCAAGTTGTTTTTTAACATTTTGTTGGTTGGCTTGGCGGAATATGAGCCCAAAATGAAGCTCTGCCACTGAAAATTCCACGAAACTACATCAACCGCAGCAAGAATTCATTTAATGCGCCAAGCAAACGCACTCAAAACTCAACACAAAGCTGCAAACCTATGTTGAAATTGCACTAACGGTGCAAAAAAAGTGCGTTACATCATCCAAAGCTGCATGCAAACTGCCCAACTGCATGCAAATTGCATTGAAACTGCACTCAGACCGCAAACAAACTGCAATCAAACTGCACTGAAATTACAAAAATACACTCAAACTACATCCAAACTTCACTCAAACTGCAAAAAAGGGCATTCAAACTTCACTCAAACTTCACTCAAACTTCACTCAAACTGCAAAACTTCACTCAAACTTCACTCAAACTTCACTCAAACTTCACTCAAACTGCAAAACTACACTGTGTGAGTGAAGTTTGAGTGCAGTTTTGCAGTTTGAGTGAAGTTTGAGTGAAGTTTGAGTGAAGTTTTGCAGTTTGAATGCAGTTTGAGTGAAGTTTGAGTGAAGTTTTGCAGTTTGAGTGAAGTTTGAGTGAAGTTTGAGTGAAGTTTGAGTGAAGTTTGAGTGAAGTTTGAGTGAAGTTTGTGAAGTTTTGCAGTTTGAGTGAAGTTTGAGTGAAGTTTGGGTGAAGTTTGAGTGAAGTTTGAATGCCCTTTTGCAGTTTGAGTGAAGTTTGGATGTAGTTTGTATGCGGTTTTGCAGCGTAAATGCAGTTCGGATTTCGTAACGCAATGTTGTTGCCTTCTGGATGCGCTGGTGAAGTT